GGACAGGGGTTCTGGCCCCAGTGCACTCTGGCTCTAGCAAGCCACATTGGAAACATGATGCAGCTGCCTGCTATGAGACTTGGGGGGTGGGTAGCTGCTACCATGCAAAAGGCTGAAATCAACTGGTACTACCACAGCATAGTACCAGTCAAACTTCCCTCTGGAAGCAGCAAGCATCCAAATAGACTCTAGAATTCAAAACAAGTCACCTCCAACAGTTCTACCAATATAATTGTTGTTTAGATGAGCAGATTCCTGGTGTTTTTCCCTCTGTCAACTTCTTTAATGTAACCCTGGGATCTTCCAACATGCTCCTAAAATTATCCTTCCCAGACAACATGTGTTCATCTAACTCCACTTAAAATACACCTACACTTAACCATAGTGTTAGTTCATTATGCCTAGACTATTTACATAAACAATATGGTCCATCCTGAACACCTACTTTCCTCCTAGAGTCTGGAATTTTGGTAGGTGCTAGGTAGGGTCCTTGGGCACTGACTCTCTCACAAACTTCCCTGGCTACAGATGTGACATACATGTTGCTGCATTTTCATTGCTAGGAGTGAGCACTGTGTGATCATCACCGGAGGGAGAAAGCATTAGAAAGCCTTCACATGGATTCCTACACTCGATTTGTTTCTTTTCCCCTTATCATCTGGGTATGTGTCCTTACTATACAACTGGAATAAATCCTAAGCATGAATATACACATGCTGAGTCCCATGAATTCTTCTAGGGAATGGATTGTGAGGATAGTCTTGGGTACTCCCTGCCACGGGTTAATATGAACATTAAATGCCCTAATATGTGTAAAACATTTAACATAATGCCTAGGTCATGAACAGTTCTCAAAATAAGAATGGGGATGGTTTTGGTGGCAGTGGGGATGGTGCTCATAGAACCATAAACCCTATCCCTCCATCCTCTCCCACTATATGCTCTCATATCTCTTAGCCTCTTATTGAATACACAACCTGACACCTTTGTAATAGTATTTTACTAACAAGTATCTCAAATTCAGTCTCCTATTGTGCCACATCAGATTAGCAAGGCCCAAAGAGATCAAATGAAATGGTCCAAGTCATGTCATGGGTCAGTGAGAGCTGAGGGAAGAAACCAAATTTGTCGTTGATGTCCTACATTGGCTTCACTGCCGCCTAGTATATGTGAGGCAGGCTACGAATAAATATAGTTAGCCTTGAGCCAGGCTGTCAAGAACCTAGCTGCCATGAAGGGGTTTTCTTTTTTCTTTTTTTTTTTTTGTTTTTTTTTTCGTGAGCGAGAGTGCGGTGGGGGGCGAGGAACATGAAAAGCTAGAAAGGAAAAGGAGCCATAAAAAGAAAACGCACATTATCTGATCTAAAGGCAGGGTGAAATGATTTCTCCTCTGCATCTCCAATTCAACAGTATTACTCCGAGGGTGGGATGAGGGGTAAAGCAGTGAGCAGAAGGTGGCACACCCTGGGGGAACAGTTAATATATTCCAGAGTTGGAAAAAGGCACAAAAAGGACTAAAGAGAGAGCAGAAGCCTACAGCAAAGAATTCCTATATAGGAACCAGAGCCTGTTAAGAGAATCCTCGGTCGGTTCTCAAAATTCTGGATCATATATGCAACTCAAAAGACGGGATCAGACGGGACCAGAGACCCACTTGGGCCCAGTCTAGAGAACTCAGTCCACCCTCCTGCCCTCCACGGAATGAGCCAATGAGTGAGCAAGAACAGAGCACCCAAAACATGCAACAGGACAGCCAAAAAGACGCTCCCGCGGACCTTGGGCGATGAAAACTCCCGGGGCTGTGGACTGAAGAGATGACCTGGCTGAGCGCGTCCGTGGAGAGCAGCGACCGTGGAGGGGAGGAATCAGTCCCCTCCTCGCGCCCTTCCCCAGCCCCGGACCTATCCCCTCCCGGCTGGCCCCGCGACTGACAGATACACCTCGCCTGGGCGCAAAGACCGCAGACCAGCGGCCAGGTCGCCTCTGGCACTGACAGGACCCCAGCACCTGTCCAGGCCTGCTGTCCCGGAGGTCTTCAGAGCCGGAAATGCATCACCCACCTTCCTGCCCTCAGCTCGCGCCCCCCTCTAGCACACCTAGAGGCCCCCTCGGCTTGCGTGTGGGTGGTTCCTCCTGGGCTCCGCCCACCCGCGTAGCTCCGCCCTTAACCTCCCACGGAGCTGGGGATCGCTAGTCCCCAGGGCTGGCAGGCTGACAGCCCGTGGGCAGATTTCCCAGGAACAGGCCAGGCTCTGCTGGAGGAAGAGCCAACATTCACTACCCGTAAGGAAGGTGGCTGGACCGGCTGGCATTACAGGAATCATTGTCGCATGATGTTTCAAAGACAGAATCCCCTCTATGCCTGGTCAAAGACAGAATCTCCTCTACGCCTGCAGGAAAAGACCCTGGGAGAGATTCACTCCTTTTCTGAGCTTTGCAGCCACAGTGCCCCAGAGGGCAGTGCTCCTGCACCTTGGGACAAACTTGTCAGTGTCCCTTGAGTAGCACCTCCCCTCCTATCACCACTGCCACTCACAGCACACATGGACTTGGTCTCCTAGCCCTCCAGGACTGTGCTTGATCACCACCTGATCCACGTGGACTTCCTGACTCCTCATCTCCTTTCATGCTCTGCCCTTTTTTGCAGCATTTAACACAATTATTTAATTTGGGCAATGATTTAATATCTTTCTCCCTCTATTAGACCATAAACTCCAAAAGTGGCAGGGATTGTGTCTCTCTCACTCATGGCTATATTTCCAGCTTTTAGCAAAGTTTCTGCCAGTAAGTGACCAATAAATACCTTTTGAGTGGATGGATAGGGCTACTCCAGAAAGGAGGGAACAAGTGGATATGGGCAAGAATGAATGAACGAAGGTAAGAATGAATGTAAAATAGCCTTTCACCCATTAAAAGCCAGGGAATGCATTTCAGCTCGATGGATTTGGCCCAAGGTTTCTGACTGTGAATTCTAAAGCTAAGAAGTGATAGTGCTAAGTTCTTGCTGTAGCTGCAGTCAGAGAGGGCTTCCTGGAGGCAGAATGTGGATGGTTCCTGCTCTCTACCAAGAAGAACTACACAAGCAAGGAAGCTCTCAATCAGGAAGGCATAAGGACTGATGTTTGTCTGAGGAGCCAGAGCTCCTGTTTGCAGGTGAGGAAGTTAAAGAATAATTTAGAGGTTTTCAGAACTGATTGAACCACATCAATTGCACCAGTAGGCTAGGCTGCTTGACTAAAGCCTTGGTGTCAATGTCATAGCTTTCTCTTCAGTGAGCCTGCTGGCAGGAACTGGCCTGACACCCCTTGGAAGACCCCTGGTCAACAGGCCAAGAACAGCTATCAGAGAAAGTCCCTGCTGCACTTGAACCTAGAGCCTCGGGGTAAAAGGAAGCTATTGGTTGAGGTCCCCATTGGCTTTGGCATCTCGTAATTCTGGTATTCTGACTTTTTGTTAGAGAAGTGCACAGACAAGGCAGCTGAGCCAATGGGAGGGAGGGCTCCAGGTGAGAGGCTCAGAGACTAAGGGCTGAGCTTCTGCTTGAAGGATCCTCAGTCTAGAAAGTTCTGTGAGCCCCTCAGATGAAATTCACTCACAGTATCTTCCAAATGAAGTCAGTACCCCCCTCCACCTGCTCAGCTTTTCTAGGGTCTAAAGCCCAGCATTGCTGCTTTTTTCCTCTGGGTTAGGATAGCAAAAGCCACCATGGAAAGACATACATTGATTCTTCCCTGGCCTTGGACTATGTATGCAGCTAGAAGCAAATATCAAACATGACTCCCACAAGGCTCCACCCACTCCCAGAAAAGATCTTTGACGCCAGAATGGAAGACAGACTAGGGGAAAGATGAAGCAATAAATACAAAGTGGCCCTGGGGGCCAGGGGAGCGGGGTAGAAGTATGAGAAGAGGTTTCAGTATATGAACTGACATGTATGGAATACTAATCTGAGCCTGGGACTGTTCTAAGTCTTTTCCATGTTGTATCTCTTTTTCCCTGTCCCCATTTCACAGATGAAGGAATGGAGGCACAGTGAGGTTAAGTAACCTAACCAAGGAAGGGGAGCATTAGTGAAGCTATTAAGAATGAGAAAGGGGTGCATATGAAAATTTGTAAATGCTTGGTACACATCTGCTGAGTGAATGAGCTAGCAAACGAATGTGTGAGTAAATAAAGATTTGTGTTATGGTTTGGATCTGATGTATTCGCTGGCAGCTAATGTATGAGATAATGCTGGAATGGTGAGATGTGAAATGATTAGATTGGGAGAGCTATACCTAATCCGTGGATAAACCCATTTGATTAATAATTGTGAAAAGATTACTATGTTGAGTATTACTATACTTACCACTGTAAGCAGGTAGGATGTAGGAAGTAGGCCATTGGAGGCATACCTTTGGGGGTTTATATTTGGTCCCTTGTACTTCATTTTCTTTCTCTGCTTTTGAGCTCCCATGAGCTGAGCAGCTTTCCTCCACCATTCCCTTCCACCACGGTGCTTCGCCTCACCTTTGGCCCAAAGCGATGGAGTAGGCTGACGTGAATTGAACCTCTGAAACCATGAACCCAAAATAAACTTTTCCTCCTCTAAGTTGTTCTTGGCAGTTATTTTGATTACAGTAACAAAAAGATGACCAACACAACATGAGCTGTCAATAGGTCATAGAGGTAGGAGTAGGCTCGAGCCAGGCTTAGAGAGAAAGTGCCAGCTCACAGCAAAGAATGCAGCTGGTAAGCAGGCTGTGGCCATAACTAGAGGTTTCTCTCTGACCTTCCTTCTGGGCACCTCCTCCTGCTCTCACCTGATCAGGCTCAGTCACGTGTAAAATCAGGAGCATATATTTCTCCCAGGTGCTAGCTCACTAGGGTTATTTACCACAATTTTCATCCACAGAGCAAGGTTCAGGTGGACAGACCTTTGCATTCCCGACCTGTCAAAGCTTCACAAAACTCTTCTGGCATCCAGAAAACACCAGAGCTTAGCCTGCAGGAGCATAGCCATGGTACTCTGGGGTCAAGTGCTGGGAGTCTTGCTGGTGATCCTTGTGGGATACCTGTGTCTTCCAGGGCTACTCCGACGACGCAAGCCCCAGGAACCTCCTCTAGACAAGGGCTCTGTGCCCTGGCTGGGCCATGCCATAGCTTTCCGGAAGAATATGTTTGAATTCTTAAAGGGAATGCGGGCCAAGCATGGGGATGTTTTCACAGTGCAGCTAGGGGGCCAGTACTTCACCTTTGTAATGGATCCCCTCTCCTTTGGCCCCATCATCAAGGACACTGAGAGAACACTAGATTTTGTGCAGTATGCGCAAGAACTGGTACGAAAGGTATTTGGATACCAACCAACAGAGGGGGACCACCAGATGATACATTCAGCCAGTAGCAAGCATCTGATGGGAGATAGCTTGGAGGATCTCAATAAGGTCATGCTGAACAGCCTGTCCTTGATAATGTTGGGGCCCAAAGGCTGGAGTCTGGATGCCAGTTTCTGGCATGAGGATGGTCTCTTCCAGTTCTGCTACAATACCTTGTTCAAGGCTGGTTACCTGAGCTTGTTTGGCTATACAAAGAATGTGGCACAGGACCTGCTACAGGCAGAAGAGCTATTCATGAAGTTCCGCAGGTTTGATCTTCTTTTTCCAAGGTTTGTCTACTCTCTGCTGAGTCCCCGGGAGTGGCTAGAAGTGGGCCAGCTCCAGCGTCTCTTTCACAAGACACTCTCTGTGGAACACAACCTGGAGAAGGATGGCGTGAGTGGCTGGTTATGCTACATGCTTCAGTTTCTGAGGGAGCAGGGAGTGGCCCCAGCTATGCAGGACAAGTTCAATTTCATGATGCTCTGGGCTTCCCAAGGGAACACAGGGCCAACCTCTTTCTGGGCTCTCTTGTTCCTCCTGAAGCACCCAGAAGCCATGCAGGCTGTGAGGAAGGAGGCCACTGAGGTCCTAGGTGAAGCCAGGCTGGAAGCCACCCAGTTCTTCACCTTCAAACTGAGCGCCTTACAACACACCCCAGTGCTGAACAGCGTAATGGAGGAGACCCTGAGGCTGGCAGCTTCACCCACCCTCCTCAGGGCAATACAGAAGGACTATATCTTGAAGATGGCCAATGGACAAGAGTACCTGCTCCGTCATGGAGATAAAGTGGCTCTCTTCCCCTACCTCTCAGTGCACATGGACCCTGACATCCACCCCAAGCCCACTACCTTCAAGTATGATCGATTCCTGAACCCCAATGGCAGCAGAAAAATGCACTTCTATAAGGAGGGCAAGAAGATCCACCACTACAACATGCCTTGGGGCTCAGGCGTCTCCATCTGCCCTGGTAGGTTTTTTGCCCTCAGTGAAATTAAACTCTTTATTTTGATCATGGTCACATATTTTGACCTGGAGCTGATGGACCCTGATACACCTGTGCCCTCTATGGACCCACAGCGCTGGGGCTTTGGCACCTTACAGCCCAGGCACGATGTGCGCTTCCGATACCGCCTAAAGTGTATGGAATAAGCTCTGCCAAGGCAGCCAAGCCTGGTCAGAGGGGCCCACTGTGGTCTCTCGCCTTTTCTCACTCTTCTGCAGCTCCAGGCCCTCTCTGACTATCCCTCCTTCTGGTTCTATGGCCACTCTGACTCTATCCTGTTGTCCTTGCTGTCTGACCTCCTAGCCATCTGTCAGGTTTACCACTCTTCCTTTAAAACACCATCTCTCCCAACGGGTTCTGCAGAACCCTCTTCTTGCAGGAAGTTCAAGCAGAAGGGGAGATGTCTAAGAGCAATTCAGTTTGAGACATGGTGCCTGCCTTGAGTAGTCCTGCATACAGAAACCGGCTCCCACGCAGAACATGGCATCTTGCAAACATGGAACTCTCACCCCACATTGTTCCACGACACTTATTCCACATCCTTTTGGGGGTTTGTGGGGTTTGAGGAGGTGGGGGTTTGTTTTTTTTTTTTGTGTGTGTGTGTGGGGGGGGGTGTCTTTTCCTTTTGGAACTGGGGGTCTAACCCAGAGTTTCATGTATGTGAGGCAAATGCTTTGCCACTGAGCTACATCCTGGCCCTGAAACTCAGGCTCTAGAACAGTATTGTCATATAGAAATATGAGGCAAGCCATGTATGTCATTTTAAATTTTCTAGTAGATATATTTTTCAAAAATAAAAAAGTAAAATTTCTTTTGTATGTTTATTTAGCCCGATATATCTAAAGAACTCACATTTCAATTTGTGACCAATATTAAAAAAAAAATAATAAAATAATTTACATTCCTTTTTCTTTTTTTTTTTTTTTTGTCCTATCTTCAAAATCTGGTAGTGCGGCATTCCTCAATGTAAAATAGACACATTCCAGGCACTCAGTAGTCAAGGGTGGGTGGTGGCTATCACGCAGATCTAGAGAAACGCTCCCTTTGATGTAAGAGTTATTCTAGGTCCCTCCTTGGTGCCCTCATCTCCTCTGTGCACCCCCACCCCAGCGTGGTTTCAATCTCCCTGTAGTTACCTCAACCATTGCTAAGTTGGAGCTTTCTCTAGCCCCAGACCCTCCATCTCCCCATGGGAGACCACAACCTTTGATCCAGCTTGTCCTCCCAGAATAAAGCATTTCTCCTGAGCGCTGTCCGGAATTGTCCGGAACACTCCTTCCTGATTTCCCTCTCTCTGCTCAGGACTTTCCTCCACATCCCACTGCCAAAGGCACACCCTCACCCTCTCTTGCCCTCCCCCACATATAGTTAGGCCCTTGTCCAGTCAGCTTAATCCCCTGTAATGGCCCTGAAATGTATCCTCTCCTCCTACCCACAGCTAATTTTTAGACCCATGACTTTATAACGAGAATTAAAAGCTGCTTTTGCTAAAAGCACTCACTTTTTACTTGGGCAAGCAGATGCTCAGTGGGTAACTGAAAGCAGCATAAAACTTGGCATTTCTGCCTTCATTTTGTATGTTTCCTTTATTGCCTTAAGCTTTGGGTCTCATCCCTGCTCAGCTCTGTATATAGGCATGTAAATATTTAAGGAATGTTCATCCAAAGCTAATAATCCTCCCCCTATGGAGGCTGAAGACATCAAAATAAGGAAAACCAGGGTATTTTCAAGATTTTAAGCGACATCAAAAATCTTGGACAGCTTTTACAATAATCTGTTCCAGATTCCTGGAATGGAGCCTAGAAGTCTCCAATCATTGCCCTACACCTTCCAGGAACAGCAGAGCCTCCCAGGCAGATCGCTGTATGATGAAACTGTCCCCAGCAATTAGAAGCAATTGTTTCATGGGAACTGAATGTCCCCCTTCCAGAAACAAAAGTCTGATGGATAAGAATTCTGTGACGCAGATGAAGATTGCCCCCTCAATTAATAAAGGACTTTTCCAGAGTCACCTCACAGAACCAGAACTGAGATAATGATCCACCAGAACACAGTTTGACCGAAACTGCTTAATTATGCTCACCTCTCACCCCTGCCTCAGTACTTCCTGTATTTAAACCTAAAGTTCATGTCAACACCCAAGATGGGCTGAGGTGCTTGGTTTCATTGGTCTTCCCAATATGGTCACATTGATGAGAGTCCCTTTCCTGCTTTCCACCATTCCTTTTCCCATTTGGCTTTTGGGACAAGTGAGGCCCAAGCTTAGGACTCTGGTAACACCTCTGCATTTCTCTCTACATTAGGCCTGCCTGTCCTTGCTTCATACAGCCACTAGAGGCCCTTTTCCAAAAGCACCTCTGATTGCCACCTTTTTACTTTCCTGGCTCCCCATCACCTCTACACACTGAACATTTGAGTTTTGCCATATTTGGTCCCCAAATATCTCCATCCAGTGAAATTCAACTTTTTCTGATGGAATTGTTCTTAAAGCAGAAGGATTGCTTTCTGCCAACCCGAGTGCCAGCTATTTCTAAAAGGTTTCCTGTGTTTCAACCACCCCATCCCAGAAATGACCTCTGTCCCCTTGGGTTCCCTAGTACCACTGGTATCACAGAACATATATGTCATTGCTTTATGTCTTGACTGCCTCCTCCTGTCCCAGACTGGAGCCCACCAGGGGATGATATCTTATTCATTTTTATGATTCCCAATTCTCTAAATGTAGATTAAATGCTAGCACCCTGACTTCTAGTCTCAGCTAATTTACTTTGTGTCCTCAAATCCCTTCCTGCCCCTCCCTGGCCTCAGCTTTCTGATATAAGAAATGGAAGTACAGTGGAGGGGGTAGAGAGAGAGGAGGGGAGGGGAGGGGAGAGGTGGGGAGGGGGGAGGGGGGAGGATGGGAAAGGCAGCGGAGCACAACAGTCACTAGTATGGCAATATGTAAATCAATGGATGTGTAACTGATGTGATTCTGCAATCTGTGTATGGGGTGAAGGTGGGAGTTCATAACCCACTTGAATCAAAGTGAGGAATATGATATGTCAAGAAATTTGTAATGTTTTGAACAACCAACAATAAAAAATTAAAAAAATTAAAAATTAAAAAAAAAACCAATTCTATGGAATATTCTGGGTGCACACATAACTACACATATTAAAATTAAAAAAGCTTCCTTATATAAAAATAATAAAAGTTACATATTCAATAGATTTATATTAACTGGAGGTTAAATGAGGAAGTCACGAGTAATAAAACTGAAAGTACATCAACTAGCCCACAACTTGATGGTCAAATCAAAATATATTTACAGATCTATTCTCATTAAAACAACATTCAATAGAGACCAATGTGGCAAGCCAATCAAATCACATTTCACATGACTACATGAAGCCAATCTAAAATGAACTATGAAAAGTTTTAAAATGTTACAAAGATAACAAATTATACAATATCTACAATGATCAACTTTTAAGATAGTATATTAAGTAAAATAGTAATTCACAAAAAGTAAAAATACCAGATAATTCTGTTTATGAGAGATATCTACTGTAGCCAAATATAGAGACCAAAAGGAATGACATCAGGGAAAAAAAGAAAGAAAAAAAAAAGAAATGGAAGTAATTCCCATTGGAAGCATGCTTATCATGGCCAAGAGGAGTTGGGAGGGTGTTGCCGCCAGAACTACAGCTATCTGATAGAGCCATCTGGAATTGGGACAGATCGAGGAGTAACTGTGGGAGCTGGATAGAGGGTCCCAGAGAAGGTGGGCCCAGGCAGCATGGAACCTCACAGCAAGGTCCAGCCAATGGGGCTTCTCTCTCCTATCCTGCATCTCCCATTGGCTTCTCCCCCAATTAGCTGTGTGACCCTGGGTCAGGGTCTGCTTTTCTCTGGGTTTAGCTGTCCCCAAATGATGATGTCTGCCTGGAGAAAAGGCTAGGATATCCCATCCTATTCCACAAGGTCCAGAAGCACAAGGAGAGGAGTTGTGTAGAGGGCACAGGAGGAGGAGGAGAAGGGGGCTGGAAATCAGAAGCCATCTGCAAGGGACTTACCAACAACCTCCCCAGACAGCCAGGCCCTGTGTTCAATAGGGAAGAGGGTAAGGGGACAAGGCACCTTCCTTGCCCTTGCTGAGATCTCAGTGCCATGTCCCCTCCCTTTCCCCACACCCAAGAGAAAATGGAGCAGGATCTTGGCCTGTGGAAAGGCTGGGACACTGCTGAAGCTTGAGTCCACTGAGTCAGGACTAAAAGGACTCAACTAGGAGTGACCATATGCAAATCTTAAGGAAATTCATGGACTTTGTGTCCTGTTTGAGAGCCCAGAAAGAATGTTTGGGACCAAGGGAAGTTTCAGAGGGTTAGGTGTAATGTGATCACAGGTGCTCCATCCCACAGTCAGGGATACACAATGTAAACAGTGGGTTTCCCAGGAAACAGCATGCATCCCAGATTGGGGTGTGCAGATGGAGCCTAGTGTTCACCTGCTGGCAGGGGAGGAATTGGGACACCTCTGATTCTGTGCCTTCTGCATGAGGATGGCTAAAAACAATCCTGGAAGAGGCCCTGAGGCAGTAAGAAGATTGAGATCCCCAAAGGTGCAACTAGTCACCACCTGCCCTGACCCAGTAGTTCTGCACCCCGCTTCCTCATTTCTGTACCAAATATTCTCTCCCTCTCACCCCTTTTCTCATGAGGACCTCAGAGTAAAGCCTGAAAATGTATTCTCTCTGAGGATCACTTATAACAAAATAAGATCAGGTATTATTCTCCAGTGGTGGAATTCTAGGCAGAGAAATTCTGGAAGAGAAAAGAGATGTTTTTTTTCCATACAGAGTGACTGCTGTGAACATGCAGATCACACTCTGTGGGAGGTTGCCTGTCCAGGGCTGAGCGTCCTCTCTCAGCCTTGAGTAAGGGAGGTGTTTGGTTTGGCATCGCATGCCACACACTGTGCAAAACAAGTGGCCTTCACCTTCGCTCAGCAAAGAAGTTGCTTCAGCTGTGGATCTGAGTGTTACCCAATGGGGTTGGACAACCCTCCTTTGAAATCTTATCCCCTGCCTTATTTGGTGAAGAACATTCCATCAAAACTCCTTTGTGTCGCCCCCACCCCCCTATAAAAATAAAGAGATTCCAGG